TATGGCTATAAATATTTATAAAAACGGCATAACACATTATAGTGATTATGCATTATAGATGAGATCATAAACACTGTAATGCTTTATGTCAATAGAAGATGCAGTGATGTTTTATTAATTCTTATGCTGACCATTATAATGCATTATGAAGGTATCTATAGTGCATAATAGATGACAGCTTTGGGTAAAGTGTTACCTTTCTCCTTTTAGGATGTTGAAATGGCTGTGAGAGCCCTTAACTGTGTCCTTTACTCCCTCCTGTCCCTAGTTCTTGTGTATGCTGCTGTGCCGCTAATCCAGAGTCAGAGTCAGGCGTCTTTGCCCCGATCCACCATTACCACCCGCCTCATTAGCCAGGCTTATTAGGCAGGTCAGCCACAACAAACACACATTTACACGCATAACCGGACAGCCGATCCTGCACAGCTGGGACAATGCGCTCCTTACAGTGCAGCGTGTGTGTGTGTGTCAGGGTATTAATCAGGGTATTAATCCAAAAGTCTACTGGTGTGAGCTGTTGTCAGTACCACTCACCAAGCAGAACCTGGTACTGCAGTATGAAAACCATTCGTGCAAATGTAATCTGAGAGAGATATTTCCACGAAAAACGCAGCATTGTCTTCCGATCTGTCATTACTCCATTAACAGCATGCAAAAATGCAAATAAATACATTACAACGAGGCACGGCCCCCCCACTGGGCATCATGCTGCCTAATCCTCTGATGTGTGAGCAAAGAGGCATTATCCTGGATTAAAGTGTAATCATGTCCTCTGTCACAGCCACGCGGTTTGGACTCCCACTCCTCACAGTTCATCCACGGGGCATCTTCAGGCTCAGTCCTCACGCTCCGTCACCCCTGCCCCCGCTGCCTGTCTCCATCACGGAGGAGGAGAAGCATTTACAGGCAGTGTTAAACGTTTGTTTTTAAGTCAGCAGTGTGTGGTGCTGAACTGTCACAAGTAAGACAATATGTGAGGTGAAGCGTGAATGTAAAATGACTCACGGAGGCTGCTTCTGGCTTATGGAGGTCATGCTAACTGCAGCACTTGCCTCTGCAGGTAGGACGTGTCACACGTCGTTTATGGAGATCCTGTATGTATCCGAAACCTGCACAAAAATGCAAGCATTTACTCAGTGTGGAACGCTGCAGAACAGGGTGATTTGGCCAGGGAGCAATTTATAGCGGTGACCTACACAGACTTTTCGAGGGCCGCGGGGACTCTGTAGACCTCTGTAGATTTTGTATGCTCATCGGATATCAAAAAAGGGGGGGAGGGGACATTTAACTGTTTCAGCAAAAGGAACTCCCCCCCAGACACATACACACCTAATTTATAGCTAATAATGATAGTAAGAATATTCTCTGTGAATATTCTCTGTGCCTAAAGCACAACAGAGTGCAGACAGAAAGTATCCAAGAAAAGTTTACACCCTGTGGAACATAAGCAGCTAGTTTCCATGGCGAAGTAAATTGCCGATTTGTCTGATTAATTGGAACCTCAGCTTTAACCCACATTCAAAGGATGAAAGCATCAGAATTGAGGACTCTTTTATTTGCTCAGTGTGTGTGGTGTGTCAGCTGTATCAGACTGTCTCCTGCCTTATTCCCTGTGCTTAATGGGCTAGCCATGACTCAGCACTGGTCATGGAGATGATGGATGGATGACCATGTGCAGTGGACCGAAGGAATCAGCGTCACTGAATCTTACAGGGTGTGAAAACCTCCTCACCGCAACTGAACGCAAGTTGCACTCTCTCATTAGACACCATCGTGAAGCAGGGCTGGGGGGGTTCGTTTTGTCATTTTGTCTTTCTCTGGCCAATGTGGACCTCAAAAAGTGCTCTTATCCAATCTACAAAGAGCAGCAGATGTCGCCATGCCCATTTTCCCTTCTTGTAATACAGAGGATTATGGGTAATGCAGACAGACCGAGTGATTCCATCGATAACAAAGCCCTTTAATAATAAGCTCATCATCTGAAAGCATCATTATTTCAATCACATTTATTTAAAACCTATGACCTATATGGGAATTTTTTTTATATTTAATTCATTTTTTCATAGTTCATATTTAGTGTCTAATTCAGCTAGAAGGAGCGGTCAAGGTCTACAATGAGAAGTGGTAAGGATTCAGGTGGCCCGAGAAGGCTCCACACTGCCACCTAGCTGCCATTGGCTGAAGGAAAGTCCTGAATTAAATCGGGAACAGCCAATGAAACAGCAAGGATAGAATCCTGTTACTTCCAGGTGAAATTTATAAACTTAATGACAAACTCAATCCAGAAAATGTATTTAATTCACTCATTTAATTATTTTGATTGTTAACCATCAGCAAACATTTGACAATATAGCACCTGTTCACAACGTTCGTGTGAAGGGACAGCATAAGGAGACATCGTTGAATTCCACACTTCCAGACCACACTGGTGTTTAACTGCGATCTGAATGAGCAGCTTCTTCACCGCCTCCGGCACTGTCCGTAATTGTGCACTGCCCAGAGGCTCCGAGATAAAGAATATGAATCCCACTCGGTAGACAGTCCGCGGGTACACCTGATCCATCACAGGAGGGCAGTTTTAGGGTTACCGTTCTGTCAGCAATAATTAACACACGGAGCACCTGGTGAGCTTCCCTGGAGGCCCAGGCCAGGGCAAAGTTCTTCAGAGCTGATACATCCTGATACACGCCCTGCCGGACACCAGCATCAGGTGACAAGGCAGGAGGAGCAGAATCCCCGCCCAGCTCAGTGGACTCTCAACCAAACATGGCAGCTAGCAAATGCCATCGTCTCTGTTTTGACTGACAGGACGTGGGACCAATGGGAGAGCATCACAAAGAAAGGGGGCTTGAACAATACATAAAGATGAGGCTTTTGACACAGATAAAACTGAAAAATGACAAACGAAGGATGCAATCTTTTCTGTTCCAGACAAATGCAGGGCCTGGCTGGAGTACCTGAAGACCCATGGTGTTTATGAGCTACTGGAAATGTGACCTTTGCTTAAGGACAGTGAGGATATCGTAGTGTGAAAGCAGAGACCAGCACTGACACCTAAGATAATTAGTTCCCCAGTAAATTTGACCAATTTCATTACTTATGTGACCTTTATTTTGATCCTAACATCAGGTTTACAGCAGATGAATGAATATCCATGTGAAACTGCCAGAACCTTAAAGGTCATACATTTTATATCTAAGCAAAATATATTTGTATTTTTTTTCTCCAAAGGCAGTTATGTGGCATTTTTAAACATGGTTTCATAGCTATACAGAGACTGACAAGTAACATAAATCTCCTTTTTTAATCATCAAAGTTAAAGACCACAGCCCTCTTCAACAAAGGCTAGACAAAGGTCCTTAATCCGGCATCGGAGATGTAAGCCTTGTCGTTACCTTCTTATTCTGCCCGGCTGCATCTCTGCAGGTGCAGCCGGGCTGAACTCTGCTCTGCCCTTTGTGTTTTCAAACCCGATCCTACCCAGCAATGCCCCCAGTGGCCTCTAAAAGCCATCAGCGATCACCCATGTTAATACTTCCACGCTTCGGCAGGAATCAATTCAGGGCCATCTGAGGTGAAGATAATGATGCAGAGCAAGGGCTTGCAGACGATGCAGAACATGCAGGATTATCGAGCATCATTTTGCTGCAGGTCGTCAGATAGTCCATTTTGCATTTACTGCTTATGGAAAAGACCCTGCACTACATTAATAACATGGAGAATTATTTGCTTTCTAAAAATACTAATAAATGTTTTCTCCTTCGTTGTCATCTGGCTTTCTTTCTTTCTTTCTTTCATTTCTCTCTTTCCTTTTCCATGTTTTTGTATTATTCTGTCTAATTATGTAGTAACATATCCCAAAACACTCATACAAAGAATCTTGGGGCGACTCTGTTGTGAAAGGCGCTATATAAAAAGAAAATTGAACTGAATTGACTTGAATATAAAAGGCAATACAAAGACCGACAAACAAACTTAGGCCTTTGTGACTGTTATTTTGCATGTGGACTATTTTACATTTACTTGTCACAATGCATTGTGACAAGTAAAATACAGTTTAAGATGACCATTCCCTAAATTTCAGGTATACACGTGCAGACACGGAGAGATGTGATTGGCTGAGTGGGTTGTAGCTCCTGATTATTGGGCTTCAGTATTGTCTCAGGTAGGCTTCACAGACCCGGCTGCGAGACCCGGTTGTGCTCATAATTGCTTCACTACTTGGTGTTTCAGGTGCTAGAATGTCCCCCACCAGGCAGGTGCTAATTAAATTGTATCTCTAAAACACACAGGTGCTCAGGTGTTGTACCTCTGTGGACTGCTTTTCTTTCATACTGTCATAAGTGGCATGTTTACGACTAAAGGGAACTTTATCTGAAACACCGAAATCTTTAGTTGTTCTTTTATCACGTGACATGTTTTCCATTTTTGTGTGCATTGCCAAGACAATAAATTCTAATACACATTGGCTCCCTCTAGTGGAAAAAAATATTTTCAATGCACATTACTCCTGAGTTAGTCTACTGCTGCCCTCTAGTGGTCCAAAAAAGGTATGGTCACACACCTTTTGTGTGCGAAATGTTTAAGAAATTCATGCATCTATTTCCAACCAATTATTCGGCGCAGGATCTCGGAGACCCTGGAGCATTTTACCAAACGCACGAGTTACAGATCAGGGTAATATCCTGGATGAAATGCTCGTCCATTGTGGGACATTGATATACTTACATACAATCACACAATACGGGCAATTTAGAGATTACCCTCACTGCATGCTTTTGGATTGCGGAAAGAAACCGAAAAACTCGAAGAAAATCGATGCAGCACAAAGAAACCACACACATGCAATACATTAACTTCCGAGGGACGCACAAAAGGTATGCTACGTACATAATACGTCCACCTAGGGTACATAACACGTAGCAGCGAGCTTCCGTCTACCTACCTTGAAAACCGAAAGAAAAATCTGCTGCACTATTGGCTAGTGGCGTCGTCGACTATTGACGTGATTGGTGGATGTTCCTGTTCATCTGGGGCTTGCCGCGACACATCGCGGTGGTTACTTTGTATCGCAGGCTTACCATAATGTGAGCCTTTTAGTGTTTTGTTATTATGTAGGCAGCAAATACCCTGCATTCAAAGCGGGTGAGTACCGTTTATGGCTGAATTTCTCGCTTTGTAAGTCATGAATTTCTTAAAACTTACAGCAGTTTCGTTATCGATGCGCTGTCAGGATAACTTTTCATGTAGACAGGTAGTTGATCTTTAAAAAATCCGTGATTTTACCTCTCTCTGCTTTGCTGCTGTCATTAAAATGCGCCGTTAATACTGCATGCGGTCTCCAGGGCCGATCGGCAGCGTTTTAAATGTGTTTATGGCGGGGCTAATGAACTCCTCAGCTAATCGCCAGGATAGTGTCCAGTATGAGAATCACAGTCAGGCTTCGGATTTACCTAATCTGAGGGTTAACCGGGACACCGAGTGTGAGCTCCTGATTGTCAGTAAACTCGTCGGTCTTGAGTGTGGAGCCCGCAGAAGAGTATGCGTTTGATCTGCCATCGGTAATGACTGTTTTTAGTCCGCTGATCGCAGCCTTGGGTTTGTGGGGACACCACAGACTGTAGGCTTGTGATAAGCACGTCTGACAGACAAGTTCGAGGTCTAGACCATACGGTTACTCAGTAAAGTGTCGCGCATATGCAGCCCATTTCAGCAGCGCTGTGCATTTCAAGTCGATGAACAGCTGTATTGCTTATTTGTTTTTTTTTGGGGGGGGGGGGTAGCTGCACTCAGCATTTTTATTTTTACCAAAACCAACGCGCTTGTTTCATTTGTGAAGTGAAAACAAACTTTCCTGTCTACGCTTATGAGCCTCCTTCTCCTTCCCCTTCCCCTTCCCACGAGCTGTCCGTGAGGTGACCGATCTTCCCCGCTCTGTATCCCGCAGCCATGGGGAGCCATGGGGAGAGGTTCCCCCGAGCCTTCCAGGCGCCGGTGGACGTCCACGCCAGCGCAGATGGCCAGGTGTACGTCTTCAGGGGCGCGCGGGATGACTCCGCCGAGTCCTCGGAGGAGGAGCTGGGCATGGTGCAGCGGAGGCCCCGCGGGTGCAGGTCCGGGCAGGGGCAGGAGCAGGCGCGGGTGGGGGGCGTCCTGCTGCTGGAGCGGCCTGTCTCCCACGGCGACAGCCTCAACAAGCTGGCCCTGCAGTACGGCTGCAAGGTGAGTCCAATCGCTTAGAAGCTGGAACACACTTCTAGAGTTTTTATACCGCTGGACATTTTACTGACGCAGTTAAGACACCTGGCTCAAGCGCACAATGGCAGGTCCCCTTTCTGGTTAGAAGTCTGTGTGCGTCATCCACGTGTCTGACAATGGGGCATGCTGGTGGACTCACGGCTTGTGACTTTGGGTTACTTTGGGTCACTTTGGGTCCTCAGTCCTTCAGATTTCACTGCACTGACTCAGTGAGCAGGTAAGGATTGATCTGTAGCCACTTACATTTCCTGATTTTAGAGTTTAGGCTGAGTTAGTTTTGGATCAAAATTGTCTTTGACAGGGGGTACATATGGTTTTGATCCTGCTCTTTTCGGTAGTGTGATAACTCAAAAAGTATTTGGCAGAGCATTTTCAAACTTTGCCGACACAATGTATGGGTGAAGATCTGGAACTAGTCATAGCTTCAGGTAAATTATACCAAAAATTAATCAGCGCTGCAGAGTGGTAGCATATGAAGGTTCAGGCACAGATGCAGATCTTATGAACCTGATTACATTGGCACAAGTCACACAAAGTCGGCCTAACAAAGATTATTATTTTTTTATTGTTGGGGAGAGTGTGTAGGAGTGCAAGAAAATGTAGAAGTTGGGGGTTGCGAGGAGTAGGAATTCGTGACTGGGCCACAGTATCTAGTTAATCTCCTTAGAACTTAACTAATGATTAGTAAGTTACTGTCCAAAAAAGGGTAGCAGAATATTGCAGGAGGGGTGACTGATTCTCTCGTAAAACAGGTAGCCGACATAAAACAGCTGAACAACCTGATCCGTGAGCAAGACTTGTATGCCTTGAAATCCATCAAAATCCCAGTGAAGAAGCACGGCCTTCTAACGGAGCTGAACAACAAGCTGATTTCCCCGCACCCAGAATCCCACCTGCCTTCCTCCCAGGGCACCGCCACACCACATCTCCCTGATTATGCTGACTTCCTCAAAGAGATCGACCGTGACATCGAGAGGCTCATTCAGACCACGGACAGCCAGGACGAAGTGCCATCCAGTGGCCCGGGGGTCCCACAGCAGACACCCGGGGCTGGCTCTTCACACAGCCATGGGGCGGACTGGGGCATCCAATGGTGGAACGCTGTGGTTCTCATGCTTTTAATCGGGGTCATCCTGCCTCTCTTTTATGTCGTTTACTACAAAACGCAGGACAAAGTGATACATCCACTCGAGAGCATGGTCAACACCTCCATGTCTACCTCAAATGGCACTGAGACAAACGGCAGCTTGCTCAGCCACACGCTTCCCTCTCAGTAGGGAAATGAGGAAGGGAAAAAGAGCTGCTCTGGACCTGATGATCATCATGATTATGATCATGGCAGATCTCCTACATGTGGGATTTATTGCCACAATGTCAGTCAGCCTTCCCCATATTACTAACGGAAAGACGTTTGCATTCATATAATTGTCCTTTAAAAAAAACACCATTTTTGCCTTCTGTGTGCATTTCCTCTAATTTGTCCACTTGTCTACAGCTTTTGTCTTTGTTATGGTTCTAGCTCTTTATATCACCCGGCACGCAGCCTTGAGTTTTCTTTAGTTTTTTTTAAATTATTATTATTATTATTATTATTATTATTATCTTTAGCCAGCATACTGTTCATCTGTGGCAATAGGTAAGTTCCGACATTTCTTTAGGATGCATAAAGACATTTTAAGCTAAAATAGTCTAGAGCCACCCAAGCTGGGGCATTTTTGAGCCACTAAACGATCAGATGATTAAAACACCAGTGTGAAATGTCATAAACAAGGTGATGCTTCCACATCCCTACCTACGTCCTTTGCTGTATAGGACTTTCTTCAGTTATTCTAATAAGCTGGTATTTTATATGAAAAACAGTTGCACCTTTGCAACTTGAGTAAACTAAATAGTGCTGAGCATTAAGGGATGTCCTGTACGGTGTGGTGATGCTAGAATTAAGATTTCCCTACTTTCTAAACTCATTTAGTGCTTCCGAAAAGAGGTTGGGCCGCTACTTTTATATTTTTACAGAAAACAGTGGATCTCTGTTAATAATGCCCTTAAAAAGTATTGGTATTTTCGGCTTTAATGATACAGTAGCCAGGTTGACTTTACAAAGCCAATAACGTTGAACCAATGTGGAAAATTCTGTAATTATGCTTTTTTTATATATATTAAACCTTTTTTAAATGAATTATACAGTAAGGGAAATGCCATAACCCATTTTGATCTGTATGATATGGGCCTATGTAAATAATTTGTCTGTACTTCGTGATAATATTATTATTTATCTATATCTGTTTTCTCCATAACTTATTTCATGGGAAAAATTGCAGTTTTATTTGTACGATAACGTGTAAGATGCCGCTTGTCAGACGTATTTGACCTTTCACTAGGGTGTGGCTCAGTGATATATTGCCCTTGGCATTAGGTGCTTCAGCACCTTTAAGTACAGGTGTTTTTAACTGCATGTTGTAATCTGAGTGACCATCTGAGTTAATTTATTTAACCTGAGTTCATTCATATTGCTGCGTGGGAGAATTTTTGCTGTCCGATAAGAATCACATGTGCGGTGACAGTGATCGACGCGGGATTCAGATCCGGTTTCGGTTGCCTGGCTTCCCCTCCTGAAGCTGACGTCAGCTTCCAGGTATGTCAGGTTTTTCTCTTATAAAGCGCCTTTCTGTATGGATTATGCAGTACTGATTTATCTGGCTCTAAGCTGAACATAAGACGTCTTTTCATTCAGCAAATGTGGATGACAAATCGTGATATTCATGGTTGCTTCTTTGGCCTCACGTGTTAGGATCTCAGTGCATTACTGCTCTTATTCACAGGCACTTTGATTTCTTGTATATGTTTCTTGTATATGTAACAAAACTAGTATTGTTTTTTAATTAAATCTGGATTGACTGGACTCGCTAATCAATTCTCAAAAACACGTAATTATCATGTGATCTTATTGCAATTAAATGACTTTTGATGGAATTTCTGTAAACGGTTCGGTTTATGTTTACTCTTACCTTTAAATTTATTCAGTTATTTTCAAGAAACTTATAGCATTTTTCTGTGGATTAAAGATTATTTTAGTGGTACAATCTTATCACACTGCAATTGAACTGCGGATGTGGAATATGGGCCTATTGTAAAAATATTCATGATACACCAATGATGCTTCATTTAGTTTTGTTCTTTGGCATCATGTTTAATGCCTCTGATCTCAACAGCTCTTACCTCTCTGTGATTATGTGCCAAACTAATACTTGGTATGTAAAATAATTTTAATACAGAAGGAAAAAAGAATGTCAGTTTCTTAACAGTGCAGTAATTCATATTCACGTTAATACAGAAAATGAGAATTCAGACGAAAATACCACGTTTGTAACGTCTGAATAGTTTTTCTATTAAAGTTTTTCTGACGTTTGATGAAGTGTAATTTGTCTTGTCCTGAAGTGTCTGGTCACTAATCTTTGTTGCGTCTTTCTGGTTAATGACCAACAGGGGGAGTGTTCTCAGAAAGTCATCCATAACATCACATTCATTTTGCTTTTGAATGAAAATGTGTTGTCCGATCAAAACAGGTTGTGAGAAGGTGGAGCAGTAGAGAGGGAGAGCAGAGTTGAATAAAATGTGTTGTATATTTCTGCTCTACCAAGAGGGGCAGTTCTGTAAACGTGACAGAGGTGCAGGTTTCTCTGAATTGCTTTGGCATCTTTTAGTTGAGCAGAGTTTGTTTGACTTTTCTCATATTCACGTATGAGCCATTGTCTTTTTCACCCTTAAGTGCAGTCGACCTTGGTTTAACATGGACGCTTCTTGCGGATGTCTTGCGCCCACTGTTCTCCATCAATCCATCCAACCTGTAGTTACAGAAAATGTCTTAGGTTTTCGTTTCATTCGTCACATTCGTTTCATCATTGAAAGCACTGGTTTTTAGCTGCTGTGCTTTGAGGTCAAAATGTGATAACTGTCATTAACTGTCATCTGTTGTTGTTAATAATCAATCAACTACTTACCCATGACTTCCCATGAAGTTGTAATTATCTGTCATATTTCTGGTTATGCAGTTCCAGTTTTTTTTTTGAGTGCAAGCCAGGATCCGTTGGGAGTTTCCTGTTTGAGCAGGTTATTCGCCTGTCATTCTGTGATCCTTTGTATATTCATAAACAACAATAAACTAGCGAAGCTACCAGTTCTTGGTTAGTCAACAAACTAGGTCCTGGCTTTGACTATCCCACTTTTCTGTAGTTCAGGTTCATCCCAAAAATGGTAGGTTACAGCAAAATCTAAGGATGTTTTTGTATGTAACACTTATAAATCTTTTTTAAAGAAGCACTGCTTAATAATATGGACACTTTCGCCTATTCCTGTCCCTCTGCCAAGCTACACGGCAAAAGAATAGCTGAATTATTCCATTCCACAATGTTGTTGGAGTGCCAGCTGGGAGCCAGCACCGATTTCCGAAGGTTACCTTGGTTCTGGGCTTAAATCACGTTGGCTGCTGGCCGACCGGCTCCTAGTCCCTTGCGGTTCCAGATACTGCCCTGCACAGCTGTGTGGCTAATGTCACTGGGCTGTGTGTGTGTGTGTGTGTGTGTGTGTGTGTGTGTGAGAGAGGCAGGCAGGCAGGCCATGTGGGGCATCAGTGTGCTTCTCTGTCCTAATGAAAAATCAATTAGCTGTTTAGCACGTGGGTTTGCAGCGCTTTCCAAGGCCGCGAATCAGGAGGCCGCAGCTGGTTTTTCTCACTCCGGCTGCTTAATCAGCTGAAGGCCGTGCTTCGCCTTCCACATGTCATTTCTTTTCTGTTCCTTTCCTGGTTGCCTTCAGGACCTACTGCTAACCAAATCCACAATATATCCCCCTTTTATTTACCAGCAGAATGCAAACAGGACAAAGAGCTCTCCGTTTCCCTTGACCTCGGGGTTCACGTAAGGTTAAGATGTCTTTTCATGGGCCGGGCGATACCGACGGGGACGATCGCTTTGAGACGAGCACGATCTGCACATGAAAGGCAACATGGAATTACGCCTCTGATTGTAGGTGTAGAGTTACTCTCTGCCTACGAAAAACAGCTTGACCACAGACGGCAACGGTCTCACAGTAACCAGAAATAGCAGGAGATGGACCGCGGCTGGAGGCTCTGCCTTCGCGGTATGGCTGTTTCACACCGCGTTGCCTTTGGGTCTGGTAATCCGAGTGTGAGAAAAGCCTTTGTACTGAGCCTCTGATGAGGGAGGTGTGTTCGGTGGGGGGGGGGGATGAATCTGCGTGAAACCCCACCTCATCGAAAACCGCGGAGGCATTAGAAATTCCTCCTCCTTTATCTTACTGTTCAAACAAAAAAACGACTCTAAATCCATGCAGTTTTGTAATTAAGTTTGATCTTGTTTATATGACAGCTGAGAGTAAACAGCCTGTCATTTGGCTGAGGTGATGGTCACATGTCACAAGGTCCTCTGTAATCCAGTGGACATAGATCGCCATTATAGTTATTCATCTCAATGTGAAAGGGATACTTGCACTGTTCCGGTGTCTAAATGCTGTCTCTACCCATCGCTGACCTGTCAGGTGTTGTGGTCTTAAGCACTCTGTCTGTACAAATAGCTGGCCCCTAGCATCGGTGTCTGTCCCCTACCTGGAAATGCACAACGGCTGAGTGGATGTAGGTCAGGCTCTGAGAAAGTGCGCTGATTTTGACCCTTGGATCAGAGGCAGCCTCCCTGCTAGACAGCGCTGACCCGTCCTGTCAACAGCACAGCTGAGTGAGGGTTAACCCTTCTATTCTGCTCATTTACTATGAAATAAATCTGTTTTGGTTCGATTCAGTGAAACCATGGATTGTTTTCCTGAAATTTTATGCTTTATTGCTATAAAATTCAGGAAGCTGGCATATGTTGGATTCATTTTCAGGAGCCGGTTTTTAGCCGTGGGGTGCTGTGACTCATCAGGTTAGGGTGCTGCACCCTGATTGGAGGATTACAAGTTCAAATCTCTGAGTCATCAGAGTAATTTCCCTATTAGGCCCCTGAACCAGGCCCTTATTCCCCGCCCCCTGTCTTTGATGAGATCCACTGTTATGGTTTACTGCCATCGCTTGAATGTTACGAGCTCGGTGGTACAGTGGTTAGCACCGTTGTCTCACAGTGTTGGGAGCACCGTAGCTCTGGGTGTGGAGTTTCCATGCTCTCCTCGTGTTGCTGGAGGTTTTCCCGCTATAGTCCAAGAACATGTTAAGTGTGCCCTGCAATGGGTTGGTGCCCCATCCTAGTTTGTTCACCTGCCTTGCACCTGTAGCGTCTGGGATTGGCTCTGCTGTGACCCTGAATAGGACAAGTGGTTACAGAAAATGGTTGGGTGACAATCACAGAGACAGTCTGTTACTTCACTGACCACCCACTGAATGTACGTTTCACAAGCTCATATTTGTGTGATCATTTGAACTAGTAGCAAAGGCAAGGAAAGCTGTGATGCGTGGCCTTCAATCCCTGTGTAATATTTATGCAAAATGCATAAAACCATCTTGCAGAGAAAACTCAATAATGTCAGTCCCACTGCAGCTGCTGGCTATAGCTAGGGCTGAAACTAATGCCGATGGGGTCCAGCCACCCTAATCAGATTGCTATTAGTCCTAATCAGCAGCGCGCAGAGAATCGCTCCTGTCCTGTAATCTCACTCAAGATCTGATTGTGAGGTTGTCATCACAAGTGTGGATCACAGAATAACACTGGTTTACGATACAAAGGTGGTCTAAGAAGTATCTGATTTCAAATGATAATTTCTGGATCAAAAAATATTTAAAACTCGTTGCCAATACTATAATCCTCCATGAACCACATGGTGACAAAACAAGATAAAAACTAATCAATTCTGTTGTCCCTCTGTTGTGTAAAATCCTAAGTCCTTCGCTTGTTCTTAAGTTAAAGGAATCCTGAACTGGACTTGTGCTCTGGTTTTTGCATTTAAAAAGATTAATGGTTACAGACTGATGTTTTTTACTGCATTTTATCCTTTTCAAGTAATAATACTAATACTGGTATGTTTGTCAGATTTATATGCATTATTGTATTTCTGCAGACTGAGGGGGTCCAATTCAGGGGACTTCTTTTGATTGGTTATATTTGTATGAATCTAACCCCAATTCAGAAGAACACTTCCTATTCAATATGCCCTCCTGTGAAGATTTATGCTGCATCACAAAGCTTTTAATGCCAAACCTTTTTTCTGCTTTGAGCTTAACCACGGGGAGTCCCTCAAGATTCCTTCAGCATCGCGTAAGTCCACCTTATAAGGAAAAGGCCAGGAAAAATACCACTGAAAACAAACCTAGATGTTTTGGTACAATTTTTAAAGGCAGATTTTATCTCTGTTCAGATATACAGAATCTGAGGGTAAGTTTGCATATATCTTAATTTAGCAGATTTTTTTTATCCAAAGAGACGTACAATTGAAAAAGCATGTTCAGGCAGGGAACAATTGGGGTTGAGGGTCTTGCTCAAAGACCCAACGGCGACATCGCTCTGCCAACCACAGGATTTGACCCGGCGACCTGATAACCCATTGAGCCACACACAATTGATCAATATTTCTGCCATCTTTTGAATTTTTTCTTTATCATTTGATGTACTAGTTCAGGAATTGAATCTGATCCACTCCTCGATGCATTCGTTTTAAAGGTTTTGTAAGGCTGAAATTTGCCAAATTGTAAATTCTCTTTTGTTTTAGTCCTCATGCTGTTATGCATTCCATCTTACAGTGTGTTTACAGGCAGGTGCTCTCCAGACGTGACACAATTTTTCTTTCCCCACTGAGTAAAAACCTCACTCATTCATTTCTGAAGTTAATTTTATGCACTATGGAGAGATTTTGAAATCTCTCACTCCATAACCAATGAATTACTGCCCATCTCTCTGACTAATCAATATATAGTATACTGCACAAACACCCCCCCCCCCCATACTGCTGGGGAGGGGCTCTTGGCCAACCAGAGATCTAGTGAAAGGGAGAAGTTAAAGTATGATTGTGGTGATGATGATGATGGTGGTGGTGGTGATAAGCCCTGAGGAAGGCAGAATGAAGATGACTGCCAAAGCTGAGGGCAGAATGGACACAGACTAAGACACAGACTAAGACTGTGCTCTCTGTGTGATCATAGGCGTAGCTCTAGCATGCGGAGGTACCTTCCCTGTGCCCGGAGGCCTGGCGTTATATTGTTTCAATGTAATTAAACAGAACAGAATGTACATAATTTTTTTGCATGGTTTTTCACTAAACATGTTTTCGTGTCACGTTTCACGTGTAGCGTGTGTCCTTTAGGGGGCGCTCATGTTAATGTCGGGGATTACGCTAATGACCACGGCAAGACCCGGAGCGCGTGAGCTCGCAGGTACGGGGAGTGACAGGCGAGCCAGATTAGAAGTGTCACA